GATATCCAACCGAGCGTATACACATCTTCCATTTTTCAGAAAAAAAATATTGAAAAAGAACTTTTAGATGAAATGAATAAGCAAGATGAGGAAGTTGACAAATGCGATATAATGAAATAATATTCGAAATCGGTAATAATAATAATAATCTATAATTTTGATAAATGTATGGAAAAAAAAGTGATAAAAAATTATTCGTTTAATTGAAATTTCATTCAATTGCTTGATAGTATAGACAAGGATAGACAGAGAGATACGAGTATGTATCTTTCACAGTTTAATATTTGTTTAGGAAGTTAGTAGGTAAACGAAGCAAAAGAACGTTTGCGAGATAAACAGGATGAGGAGAGACTCTGTTGAAAAGAAAGAAAAGAAGATGGAAGGAAGAGAAGTTAAAGAACGGAAGGAAGAAGGAAAGAAAGGAGGTCCGCTTCGGGCCGGGAGAAACAGCAGCTGCATCACTCGATACGTATCGTGTTGGGACTGAGTTTGTGGTGGGGAGAATACCCGCCGGGGTTACTCCAGAGAGATTATTATCGGTCGGATCAAGAGCTTCGTTCAAATTCGCTAACATTCGGAAAAGTTCGGGCGCGTGGCACCGCGTGCCGTTCCCCCACTACTCAACTGAACCAAAAGAGGACCTCAGGCCCGCTTCTTTTCTGACCTACCATCGATATATTCGGTGACTTCGATTTTGTTACTCGTATTTCGATTTTATTGTACCGATCAATACCGATCGAATATATTTATTGATTCGTAAAGCTTTTTTTTTTTTTATATATCTACTCGTAATACGATCTAAAAAAAGCAGACACGATAACCAAAGTACTATATTCACGGAATCACGTTTTCGAGAAACAATACGACTTCGATGAATCACAGCGTGTTCTTCAAGTTTATTATTCCGAGCGACGCCTTCAAGCGTGCCGATGTACGAATGCATCCTACGTTTCTTCATGCTTTCTGTTAAAAGAAAGTGTACTTACATTTCCCACGGTGGTACCAAATTCGAGATTTACTCCTGTCTCGTCTGTCCTTGATCGTTTCTAACACTTTGTAATCTCGTAGCGTCAATATTGAAACAATGATCGTTAGAAAATACCTCTTAAAAAGAAATAAAACTTGGAAATTTGTATTGTTCGTTGATGCAATCATTTCAATTATCTTGGGATACAAATGATATTCATGAGAATATGTTTATTTGAAAATTTCGTATAAAATAAAAATTGATGAACATAGATGAAAAAAAGTTTGATAAAAGAACAAATTTATCTTCCATTAGAACTATATATAAACTATTTGTTATTATATATTTTACCTTGTAAAAAAGGTAAGATATAAATTTAGAAAATAACAAAAAATATCTGAAACATAGTAACTAATCTAACAAATACAAATGTAAATAATATCAACTAACAAATTGGAAGAGATGAATGATTGCGAAGAATTCAGTTATAATAAATATGTTCTGTTGAAAATAACATTAAAAATAATTTATTTGTTGGCTAATTTTCTTGGATGAGCATACATTTTCATTAATATGTGAACGAAATCGTAATTTGCAAGGACAATAAAACTTGGCTCTTGAGCGATTCATTGAGTTTCTTGTAGCCAAGTATATGCATATGTAGTGTATACGGTCATACGGCAAAGAGAGCTCGTACGTTCGCGATCTTGCTCGTAACACATGAACCGAACGAAGCCCATACGTATGTATGTATGTATTCGCGATCGGCAGTATGAATGAAAGAGTGAGGAAGGAAGGAACGAACGAACGAGCGTAGAACGACGAAGGGAGTCGCGTGACGGATCCACGTGCTGTGTGTGCGCCAGTTATGGCAGAACGTAACTACGTTTACTGCTGGTGTATACACGCATCAACAACAACGTATATGATACATATATAAATATGTATATGTAGATGCACGCGCGCGTACTCATATGTAAGGAAAGAAGGAGGTTTAGTTTCTTACTTGTACAGGTTACATATGCATGCATTACCGTGGTCGTGCACGAACGCAAGAAGGACGGAGTCAAGTGACGCAGTGAAGAAGACATAAAGAGTAAGGGGATGAATTTAAAGAAAGAGAGAGAGAAAGAGGGAAAAAGAGGGAACTCGATGTGGCGGCGAAGGTAAAGAGGCCGGAAGTGGTTCCATCTGGCTCCCCCGTTGGTTTGACCTGTTGAACCACTCGTGACCGGAAGTATAGCATACACCTACGGGCTCTATGGAGGTAGCACTTTTTTCTCGCGACGAACGATACGACAAAGGCTTCTTTTTACTTCACGATACTTTATCATTTCGGAACCTGGCGTTATTTACCAGATATAACGTAGCCATGATTTACTTACCAGAGTTGCTTCGTTATAACTGCACAACTTCTTCTTCTTCTTATTTTTTTTATCATCGAGTAAATAACCGTAACCGCGTAGACACCGATTGTTGTCTCGCGTTCACGATTATTTTTTTAAAGTGTGGATGATCGTTAACGATAAGACTCGGCATCAAATTTCTCATAGCATGTATTTAAAATCAAATCGACGACGCTCTCTTCTCGTTACAGTGGAGACGTAAAGTGACACTTGGCGGAGTTTATGGCGGGGGTTGGGCTTGTAATAGCTAACACCGGGGAGTAAGAACGAAAAGTGCGATTCGTTTTGGGGAACAATAGATTGCATCGATACGTGCTCGAGACAGGTCCAAAGCATTATATTCCGAGTACAATACCTCGAGCAGGAGGCAGTATGTGCACCGTAATAATCTGTCACCCCCGAACACTGGCGCGTATGGAACATGTTAGGGTTCACCGCACCCTATTTGATAAATATGACGTCACGAACAGAAAGCTCTCCAATAGGAATCTTTTCATATTTTATCCCGATTGTAGGAAAATTCAGATGCAATGGTGAAATTCGCAAAATTGAGACAATACGAGCATAATTAAAGTTACTTAGCGAATAAGGGTAAAAAAGGGTAAGGGTAGAATGTGCGAGGTGAATCGGAAAGATTAGTCGAATCAGAGAGGAGGGTCGGGCGATTTCACGCATCGTCGCGAGTCTCGCTTCACGTAAGAAGCGTAATTCGCTGAAAAAAGGAGGGGAGTGTGACGTCACGAAGTGTAGGACGCGGCGCGTGCCAGCGGGTCCAGAAAGAGAGAGAGAAAAAGAGATGGATAGGAGAAAGAGAAAGAGAAAAAAACAGAAAGAGGGAGAGAGAGAGAGAGAAAGAGAGAGAAAGGTATGGGGTACGTCTGGTAGTGGCATAGGGACAGAAAAGAGCGAGAGAGGTAGATGGAGGAAAAAAGGGTGAGGTGGCCGGGGTGTCGCGCGGCGGAGGTAGATCGTGGCACGGTGGTGGGGGTGGGCGCGTGCAGCCGGCCTGCAGCTGCCTTCTTTCTCTCCCCTCTTGCTCTGCGCACCAGCCAGAGTCCCTACGGTCGCACTCTGCCACTGACGCAGCCGCTCCTTGTGCCCGTCACCCCTCTAGCGTGCGCGTTCTGCCACACAACCCCTCTCTACAGGGAGCCGGCGGGACCACAATTATAAGTAGGGGTGCTCCCGGCTTACTGCCTTCAGTCGAGGGTTGAACTCGCTCTTGTCACGTTCGCGTATAAGTTCATCTTTAACAGAAAACACGAGGAACACGCGCACCCAGTGTTGTTTACGCACGAAAGACGGTGTGTTATTTAGATCGGGAATACAAGTTCACGTGTAATACGCCAAATAAACGATAATAAGGAAAAGGACGATAAGGATAAGAACAACGCAAACTTTCTCGAAGAGAAGTGAGTTTCGCGCCCCGTAAGGACACGCACGCGCACATATAATTTTGCGTCTTGTCGGTAGATCAACCTCGCCATCTGCCGGCCTTCCAATCGGATACAGTGTGTGCCCTAAGAGTCTTCTGTTAGTCAATGTCAGGATACTTGCCGTTCTCCCCGTTGTGTGGCGCTGATGCAACTATTTTGAACCACTAGGACGAGAGAGAAGTCGTGAAGACAGAATAACGTCTTCTCAGCGAACGAAAGAATAGGGATATTACGAGCTTACGAAGAAGTTACTTTCACGCGAGAAAGGAAAATAACAAGTGTACAGAGGAGGGAAGATTTCTTGCTGGTGAATCCAGTGGTACTTGGTTCTCGAAGAGCCAACTTTCGTGACTCGTCTTCTTTCCTTTTCTCCTCTTTTTACCTCTTTTCTCGCTCGCTCTTTTGCCTCCCACGAAAAGTCATTCCTCCCTCTTGGAAGTCCCGCCAGGAGCAAGAAAGCAGGAGCTCTCTCCCTCTTGCTAACGTTCCACCTCCAGCTTGGTCTTACTGCAAGTCCTGCCCTACCAGCGACAACGCACCCTTTTCTTCGTTCCTGGGCCTTCTCTACCTCTCCCCACCATCACTACCGCTATTCGCACGCTCTGTCTCTCTCTCTCTCTCTCCCTCTCACTTCATCTTCCTGCTGCAAGGAGGGCAGACTCGGCGGCTCGTGTCAGTAGTGTGTGCGAGACAGTGCGGCAAGGCAGTACGGCGAGTCAGTGCACGGCGACTCGTCGTTGTGTTGCGACGGTTGGCGCGGAGAAGAGTGTTTAAGAACGTGTGACCCTTTTTTCTCTCTTCTCCTCGGTGCTGCAATAAAGTATGCTCGTGGCGAATTGTCGTCCTATTCGTGCTTTTTCTTATAATTATAATAATCCATCAATTTTTCATGGCTAAAGTAGTGCTTCGTGCTACTACTATTTACTGCTACTACGTTACGACAAGCTGCGAACTATCGCATTGAGGACCTCTTTCTTCTCTCGCTATCTTTCTCAGCGTGGGAACGACGTAACAGCGAGGAAGAAACATCCAAGAGAGACCCCTCTTCCCTTCTTTGACCCCTCCCCCCTGATCGAGGCGTCGTCCTTCCTTTATCTCCATTTATATATCTATATGTCTATACATATATATGTGTTTTTCGGATCATCGCGTCTTTCTCTCTCTATCTATCATCTGTCTATCTCTCTCTCTCTCTCTCTCTTTCTTACTCTTTGCAGTAAGTTAGAGAAATAAAAGGAATAAAGTGTTATATATATTATCGGGGGAGTGTGAAGTGATCGTGTGCTCGACATAAAAAAGGGGAGTAATTAATACAGCGATATTCCCTTAAAAGCTTATTACAAAATTCAACGATTTTTCGGTTTTCGGAAAAGCTATAATAAGGAGAGTAAGTGAAAAAGTGCCGCGAACGGCAAGACGCCGCAAATCTTCGCGAGTTCGCAAATACCGGACGGTGTATACGCATATTTAAAAGGAGGAGGAGGAGGAGGAGGAGGAGGAACAGCACCAGCAGTAGCAGCAGCAGCAGCGGCAGCGGCAGAATTAGCTAAAGAAGGACTAGGATATATCTCTACTGAAAGAAGGAAAGAAGAGGAAGGAACGTTATCGTGGCTATGCAGCCTCGCGAAGCTATTACCGGAAGAAGATAACGCCGACCGTAAGTCGGACAAAAGACGAATCACCACGGTGGTCCACGCGCACAATAGACGCGTAAACATTCGAAGGCTTCGATTAGCCGAAACATGTGGACCACGATGTTAGTGTGGACGGTTGCCGTCGTGCTTCTACCGTCACCCCGTGTGGTAAGTTTCATACGTTTACGTTTACTACCCTCCTATCTTCCTACACAACGAGAATATGCCGCTGCTTGAGACGCCCTTTGCCACGGAGACATACAAACTTTGCATTAGAAACACTCAATTGAACCTGTAAACACACGGAGATGTGCGAATAACGATGTAAACACGCAGAGGCTAGGATAAATAAATTGATTACGTTCGTTGCGATTAGAGAACAGCAAGTTATTATCTTTCCCTTTGAAGCTCGTGGTAAATAGATGATGATAGGTTATCCCTTTTTCAAGAAGAGATTCCCCGAACTTTATGTCGCATTACGCATGAAGAGATCCCTACTTCTTTTCTTGTTTTTTTTTTCTTCTTTGACTACATGCCCAGCTGGATCGCAACAAGCTTATTCTTCCTGGGAGATGTTTCTTTCAATTTATACTCTTCTTCTTCTTCTTCTTCTTCTTGTTTTCTCTTCTCTTTTTCTCTTCTCTTTTTCTCTCTCTCTCTCTCCCTTTTTCTGGACTCTTTCCTTTTCTTACCGTGCGCCGGCAAGAGGCAGGGGAAAAAGTATCGAGATACGCTGCATGCAACTCTAAATCTGGATCCACTCTTTTAGAAGTGTCTAGCTTCTCCTCCCCCTTCTCGAGAGACCGTTCCAGGCGCAAGCAACTCTCTTTGCTGGTAAAAGAACCCAAGCAAGCTTCACACGCTATACCTACCTACTAATGATTGTTTCTTCCATTTGACCTTCACTCATCGAAGATAGTATACATTTCAAAGGTTTTAGATGCGCTTTGTTCGTTTGAAAGGTGCCGCTTTTTTCGGAGTGTCACAAGGACAGCTATTATTCGGAAAAAGATGCATGTCCTTTGAAATGATTTTGTGACGAAACATACCGGCGGTCTGTTCCGAGAATACGCAACGGCGGCCATTCTCGTTCCCTAAATAACCTTCCAGCGCGCCAAAAATGAGAATTTCTCATCGAGATATCTTCCCGACGCGTCTACAACCCTTTTCCCGATGAGATTACATTTGGCTTAGTAAGGACTATTCCAAGAAATATCAGCTACAAAATACACTTGTGTATTTTAACATTGACGTCACGTTCGTCATCGTAAAATAGATTCCAGATTAATGAATGAGAGTCATCGAAAGATATGATGAAAAAAAAAAAAATGATCTTTTGACGTTTGTCCTCCATCTTTTTCAGAGGTCGTTTTATTTAGAATGTCGAGTACTCCTAAAAGACGTTTACGCAACAAGTATTTCTGTATTTATAAATCAAAGTAATACTTCGATAGAATTCCACGTTCTTGTGTTACATTTAAAATAAAAAACATATAGAATACTTCTGCAGAATACTGAAATGACGTAGTTGAGGGTGGGAAGGTGTCCCGTGAGAAGGCTAGTTCGTTCTTTCGACGAGTAGGTGCGGACGTGCATCAAGCACGTGACCGCTCACAGCGACCTCTTTGCAAGTTCAAATAGCCGAAAGGCGTGTATCGCGCCTATATCGGCTTGTAACAACCACCACCGCATACTACTCTATTTCCGTCTTCTTCCGTAATACTTGGCACAAAGTCGTGTTTCCTATTCGGTAAAAGACTATCATTTTGTTTCTTCGTTACGAATCTAATTTGTTAAATGTGGTGTTTAATGAACGTGCCGAAGGGTGTAGAAACCGACGTAAAATGTATGAAAAGGAATAGGAAGAAGAAGAGAGACCGGTCCCTTGATCGTTTACATACCGTGGAAGGTTTGCCATTAATTTGTTAAAGAAGAGGGAGATAGCGCGGTCTCGCGTGTTAATGTATTTACGGGCCACATCTTTCCTCTTTTTCTTTTCTGTTTTTTTTTGGTTTTCTTTTTTTGTTTTTTTATTAACACGAAACCGCCCACTAGCAAAAGTACCATACGCGCGTGCGTATACACTCCGAAAAGGCAGACCTTTTTTTTTTCTCTCTCTGCGTAACGGCCCTCTTTCTCTCTTTTTCTCCTTATGTTCTTTCTGCTTCCTGGGAGACGCGATTGCGCGCGCGCGCGCGCACTTGCTCTCGACAAACGCCATACGCGTGCGCAAAAACACGCGCGTGCTTCGAGACCTTCGGTGTCTCGTGCCTTCTTCTTCGCGACTGTCGTCTCGACCCCACGTCGTTTCTGTCCTTTCGATGGAACCACAAGTAGCGACCGAGCCATGTTTTGCCGACAGATGTTGCCTCTTTTTCTTTTTCTTTTCTTATTCTCTTACTTTTTTCTGCAGTCACGTTTCAAATTTTGCGATTCTCGTTAAAACATGAATCACATTTTACAATTAGTCGAATTAACCAAAATAATAAGTTCTGTGATATTACAAATGATTTAATAAGCTGATTTTTTTTCAGGTAAACGCTTCGGGGGTGTTCGAGCTAAGGTTGAAGTCGTTCGTTAACGAATACGGAAAGGATAGTCTAGGTAAATGCTGTTCAGGCACTACCTCGAGAACAGGCGATTGTTCAGGTGTTTGCAAGACAAGGTTTAGGGTATGCTTGAAGCAATACCAAGTGAAGATTGACACAACAACACCGTGCACTTATGGAGATGTCGTTACACCTGTCCTCGGCGAAAACATCGTTACTTTTAATCCAAACGTCGCCCTACCCAGTTTTAGTAACCCCATCAGATTTCCATTCGAGTTCACATGGCCGGTAAGTTATTTATTATATGTTTATTTTATTTTCATTTTACTTAATTCGCATTATCCGTTACTATTATTACGTTTACTTGACTTACATTAATACGATACAAGTTGATGATGATCATATAAAAAATAATGCCAGATGCACTGTTGTCAATGAGAAAAATATGAAAACAATAGAGGAACGATAACATTTGTCTTTTCCCTTTTTAACCGTTGCTATTATTATTGTTTATTCCTCGGTTTTCTCGTTTTTAAAAGAAACTACCTGTTTACTGTAATTTGCCATAATAATATATTACGTTGAAGATAATTGTCAGGTTAGTTCGATCGAGGAACATTGAAATACTAATTTGAAAAACAGCGTTGAGTGGTGCCGTACACAAAGTTATGATCGTTATGATGGAGGAAGTTGTTCGTTATAAGACCCACACACCGGTTTGGGACCCTACGACATATAACTGTTGACTTTAACGAATTTAGATGACGTGCTCTTAACCAAATTCACTAAAAATAATAATAAATATAAATTCGGTTAATACGTGTGTAACAAATAAACATTTATACTTAGCTGACAAATCTTAAGTATGATGACTGTGTGTTATATAGATTTCTTTAACAGATAGAAACTTAAAAGAGGAATCGAGTATATATTTAAAGTAGCAGATAACATTATGCATCCTAGGATTAATACTTTGATCCTATTGGCACTTCTCCTATAGCTATCTGGTAGTGCACAGTGTGCCACTGGCAGATGGCTAGGCCTTTTGTGCCTCTATGTGTCCCTCGTGTGTTGCCCCACCTCTCTTTCTCTCTCTTTCTCTCTCTTTCTCCCTTTTTTTCTCTCTCTCTCTCTCTCATCTTCCTTTCCATCTCATCGTCGTGCCTCTCTCTTGCAAACGGAGTTAATTTTACTAACCCATATGGCGCCCCCTGCGCGCGTTCACACTCCACACACCAAACCAGCAGCCAGTCTCTTTCTATCACCATCTACTTCGTCTTATACAAGTCTACTTTTCCGTTTTCCTTTATACTCTCGTTCTCTTTCAGACACGTTTACATATTACGAAAGTCTGTTATAACGAAGTCCTGAAGTGACCAAAATATTTGTCTCACAAAAGAAAATATCAATAAAAAAACAAACATACCTAATGTAACGAATAATATAATCAAATGAATAATAATTCATGTGTATAGAACATGATATACTTGATTATAATATTCTTATGAGATATACGAGAAAATGATAAGAAAATCGTGCGTAAAAGTAGTGACGATAAATTCAAGATGTCCAAGAAGAGTACTCATTTTAATCGATCACGTCGTCGTACGTTTGCCTTGCCTCGACAAGAATCGCATACACGATCCCCTGTTCCTAACTCGTATTCAGGTGTGCGTGTACTCTGTGCTTTTTACGCCCCTCTCTCTCTCTCTCTCTCTCTCTGTCAGTGCGGCAACCGAACGATTCAAAGAAATACGATATTTTTAGAAAACGGAGAGAAACTCGAAAGCGAGAGCTTCGTGAGTTTGCACATTTTTACTTCTTTTCTCTTTTATCTCTTTTCTTTTGGTTTGTCGAAGTAACGCTATGTGCGTATGTACAACACGGTATGATGTCCGCGGAACGTGCGTTTGCTTCAAAGAAGAATAAAACAGAATAAGAGAGAGAGAGAGAGAGAGAGAGAGAGAGAAAAGGATGCGGTGTCAACCGAGTGTGGGATGGAAAAAGAGAGAGAGAGAGGAAGACTAGAGAAGGTGGGCCTTAAGGGGAAAAAGAAAGAGAAAGACGAAGAATCGTGGTCCCACGGCCGAAAAGGCTGCGTGATTCGCGTCCGGGAGAGAAGAAGGAGCGGAGAAAGACGCCGAATGAATGGCTGACTCGGCGCACGACGATGCGCGACTTCCACGACGCGAAACGTTTAGCATAAATTACTCTCCTCTCTATGCTATGAGAAAGAGGAAGACGAAATACTCGTTCTTTCGTTCGCTCACTTGCTCGCTCGCTATTCGATAGACTCGTCCGTTCGGCTTCTAAAAGTTCGCAAGAGCTCGTAGTTCTGTGTATTTTTAGTAGTTTCACCGCGAGCTACAAAACTCACGCGATCGACCTCTTTTCCCTTCTTCTTCTTCTTCTTCATCATCATCATCATCGTCGTCATCGTCATTATCATCATCATCATTATCATTATCATCATAGACCCCTCGAGCTAGAAGCGCCACCTTGTGCGCCTATTAACGATAACACGCTAAACCTATGCTTATGATCGGTTTCTGTTTAACGGAGTTATACAAGAAAATAAAAAAACAAGCAAGCAAGCAAGCAGGATCGATGATCTTTTCTTCGATTTCCTTTGAGAAAGGATCAACGAAATGAATGAGAAAGAGAGAGAGAGAGAGAGAGAAAGAGAGAGAAAGAGAAAGAGATTGTGTGGCACGAACAGTGCTCGAATGCTCGACGAAACTCGTAAGAGAAAAGTACACGAGGAGATATATAACTGACATAGTGATCGGTGCAAACGCACCACGGGGTCATCGAGCTCGAAGTATAAATCACCTGATCTACAGTGAGCAGCTATAAAGATATTTCACTTTTTCAAATTGAATAACTCTTTTAAACTAACCGAAGTTTCTTTTGAATTGTTGATTATAGGCATAGAAATATTAATGTCTTATATATAAAACGCGTGTGAAAAAATAAAGAAATAATTTTACTATTTTTTATCAATAAATTTGTAAAAACAACAACGACGACGTATTTATCCACACATTCAATAAATCTTATTAAATGATATAAATATCATAAGATAATTTTAAAAATTGCAATTATATCATCAATTACATCACCAAATTCATAATCGTATAAATGTGACATAGATCACACGTATAACACCATTACTCCATTAATTATTTTAAATGTCTGAATATTTTCGTAGAACTTAAAGAAAAGTATTCAATTGAAAAATATTCTTCAATATTTTTATAACTGAGTGTATAGTTCCACAGTTGATCGTTAACACACTGTATCATGAACATTAGCTTGGTAGGGATCCACTAGTTCGATCTCTCTTTTCGGATCAGACCTATTTCACGTTCATATTACCATAGTCTCTACCAGACTACTAGCAGACTTCCTCAGCATTAACGTAACACGTTATGTTTGGCCGGAGGCAAAAGGATACATTGGGTGTCTTTTGCTTCCATCATTCTTCTCCCCTACGTTTACTTCAATCGTTTGTTTCTTTCATCGTTTTACATTTGATGATTACATATTCATAATAATTTTAATCATCAAAAAATAATACTACTATTACTAATAATAAATAATAATAATAATAATAATAATAATAATAATAATAATAATAAATCGTGTGCGTGTAAAAGAAAGAGAGAAGTAGTTAAATAGAAAGGGGGAAGCTGGGTGTGTGAGAGAGAGAAAGAAAGAGAGAGAGCCGAGATTGGAACAGAGAAGGAAAAGAGAGACCGAAAGAGGAGCGCACTGGCTCCGAGAAAGAGGGACGACTGCTACTACCTCAAGGAGAGTACAGAGAAGAGGGAAAAGAGAGGCGAGAGAAGGTGGAGGTATGCCGCGCAGCCGTGGGAACAGACTCCCGAGTGAACGAGCTCTCTCGCCTTCTCCCTCGCTCTTACACTCTCTCTCTCTCTCTCTCACTTGCTCACTCGCTCGCTCGCTCGTTCGCTCGTTCGCTCTTACTCACTCTCTCCGTCCTGCTCCCACCACTGGTGTTCACCTGTTTCCGTCTCTTTCTCTCTGTCTTTTTTCTTTCTCTCTCTTTCTCCTTCTGTTGAGTTCAAGCCGACGAAACACCGTTCTCTTCTTCCTCTTTTCATCTTGCGCCTATCTCGCTATCCTCCTCCCACTTTTCTCTTTCTTTCTCTCTCTCTCTCTCTCTCTTTATCCTACTGCTTGCCTTTCTCATTTTTCTTTTTTCTTCCTCCGGTTCCATAGCTTCTCTCTTCTCAACTTTGGTCGCGAAGAGTTCTCTTCGCTAACCGGACCTCGAAACACACACCCAACGAACGCACATTGTTCTCCGAATACCAAGCCCGAGCTTTTTCAGCTTTTTTGCCGACATAATTTCGATCTACGTAATAAATTAACAGGCGATCACGGTGGCATTTGTCTCCTTGACAATTTATTTCCTTCCCTATCGGCGACGTTTACCTCTTTCTACCTACCTACCTACCTACCTACCTACCCCTCGTCTTTGTCACGAAAGAAAAGGGCGTTCAGCTACTTCTCTCTCTCTCTCTCTCTCTTTCTCCTTCTTCCTTGTTCCCTTCTTCTTCTTTTCCTTGCTTGCTTGCTTGCTATCTTTTCTCTTCTTATTTTCCTTTCCATGCGCTTTCACGAAGAATCTCAGAATAGTTGAGATTCTGCCGGTACGCTAACGGAATCTTTTTGCGAACCTGGTATCTCTCTCTCTCTCTCTCTCTCTCTCTCTTTCTCTTTCTCTTTCTTTCTTTACACAAGTAGTCGGTGCCAAAGACAAATCGCACTGTTAAAGAATATAGCCGGTGACGCTCGAATGATCAAACAGTAGAGTAGAATAAGGTGGGACTGAATTACTGTAATTTAATCCGCGTGGTAAGAATCGCTTAATAGAGCGCCGAGATGCTTTTCAATCTGGACCATTCCTAGTTCCTTTTTATATTATATATATATATATTTGTTTTGTTTTTATTTTTTTTTATTTCATGATTAACTTAATTCATATTCGTAATATTAACACTTTAATGGCCGCACGTCTACGTCGTCAGGGGTCGGTAATATTCTTGAAAAATTCATTTAGAATAATTTTATTAACATGAACAAAACAACAACAACAACAAATTTAATTTTATATAATTTTAAATATATACAAAATTATAAATATAAATAACAGTTGTTCCGGCTATCACACACACATGTTGTGTGAGCGGCCATTAAAGTGTTAATTAGCAAAAAAAATTATATTATTCGACAACGTATTTATTCGTTCAACCTTATTTTTTCTTTTATATCATTATTTTGTTCTTATCATTCGTTGCTTTAATACTTCGTGCATAATATGTATTATCACAGGGCTCACTATTATCAAAGGGGATGAAAGCAGCTCGTTTACGCGACGTCGGCCGGATATAAACATTTATTATTCAATGTGCGGCAGCGACTAACGAGGTCGTCGTGTATAATACCAGCGTCTCTCTTTCTGTCTCTCTTGTACTCTCTCATCATACGTGTGACGTTAATAATTAAACGTCGTATTATCACCGTGCACGTAACAGAGTAGTCGTACGTGTAGTGCACGTACTCGTTACACAATATGTACCGTCGTGTTACTCTCCACGGCATCGTTACACGCTATACACTACCGATCGTAAACAGATTTATGAATGCGCAACACTCGCACCTATGTCGAATGATTATCCTCTGACAGTGAAATGCAAAAGAAAAAAATTATTATCAATCTTAACTTTATTATTTATTTATTCATTCATTTTTCTTTTTTTTCTTTTTGATTTTATCTTCTTTATTCAGGAAAATGCGATAAATATCGGATCGTGTTTATCTCATTTGTTATTTTATAAGCTTTACAAAACGAGTTGTTGGATATTTCAAATGTTCCAATAAGAACGGATTAATGCCGCAATATATTATAATCATAAATTATTCTTGCATGTATTATAAATAATGTCTAATATATGAAAGATAATGAATATCTATTGTATTTTTACAGGGAACATTTTCTCTGATCGTTGAGGCCTATCACGACTCAAACAATACAACGCATCATTCAGCCGGTGAGTAATATTTCTCTTTTCTTAACATTAACATTCACGTGTGTCATCCGATATTAATTAGCGAGGGTTAAAGGGGTATTCGAAAGTGAGCTTGCGTGTGCCTATGAGCGTTAGTTCATACAATTAAAAAAAAAAAAAAAAGTAAGAAAAAATATAAAAGAGACAAGAGAGAAAAGGATTATCATAAAATTAGTCGTCCAACGACGCACGAGCCCTTGATGCATGACACACACGCTTCTGCCTGGCAGAGTTCTCGACGATAGATAGATAGATAGGAAGAGAGAAAAAGACTTGAGTAAGCGAGCATGTGCGGTCCAGCTGGCCTCCTGAATCTCTTCGATGTGTCTTGCTTGCATCGTGTCCGAACTAGTCGAGAAGCGACTTCCGGCCTTGTCACGACATTCACCAGAGACACGAGACGTAACTTCGAATCTCTTTTCCCAGTAACAACCCTCGACGACACTTCTGTCTTGACTCGACTAGCTAGCTCGTGCTTTTCGTCATTAAACCCACGGAAGATGGAGCCAGGCCTCTTCTTCCTTTCTTTTTTTTTCCTTTTTTAATTACAATATTTGCTTTCGATCTCTCATCATCAACAAACTTCTTCTTCTGTTTAATGATTTTAAATAATAGTTTATACCATCTACCTCGTTTTTGTAGCGTTGTATTCCTCGGTTAATGTTTCTATGACCTGTTTTCATTTATATTCGTCGTCGACGAGGCAGAATTATTACCGCAACACCGTCCACGTGCGCACACACAAAGTACATCTCGATGGATGATCCGCCGACGTCCTCTTGCTGCCTGTCATACGCGCGGAGGATGAAAGAGGAGTTGAGAAGAGGACGCCCATAGACACTAGTGTTTCCTTCCTGTGTAATCGTAGCAGCCACCTTCCACTACTCGTGGTTCGTGCGAGTAACGCGATACCCTTCGTAGGACTTACGTTAGAACACGTTGTATTACATATTATTCGCACACACGTATAATTCGTACACGTCGTATACCTATATACTATTTTATCATTATTATTCATTAAAATAACAAACGTGATGATCGAATTTATTTCATTGATCGATCATGATCGTTTTGATTATTTTGTTCATTAAAATAAGATGAGAGAATGAGTGAGAAACAAACAAATAGACCAACAGACAGACAGACAGATAGACAGACAAATAAACGGATAGAATATAAAAACCGTTGGCTTTTCATACACGCGTGTAACACGAATTCTTGCTTGCAAACGACCGTTTCTGTGTATGTAATATACATATATATGTATGTATATGTGTCGCGCATGAGAGCACCGCGCGGCCGCGTGTAACTTCCGCTTTTGCCGCCCGCACCGGTAGATTCTAATTACCGACGGTAGGACCTCGAGAAAGAAATTAAGTAGTCGTGCTCTTCTTATTCTATTTTTAAAATTCAGTCCTGAGAGTTAACAAACTCGCGTATACCTATTGAAAACAAGAAACAAGTCCCCTTCGTATCTAACGAAACTCGACGTGAGAATATATATATATATATATACTATATATATCCTTAATAACATTTTTATTCTTTTTTCGCGTGTTAAAAGAGACAAACACGATGACGTCGATGAGATATTAATGGAGAACTACTCGCCCTTTATTTCCGCCCTCGCAAGCGTGTGGATTTTCTATGAACGGACGGATGAATGAACGACGGACCCGTGTGTATGAATGAATTCAAATACAAAGAGGGAGGTATATATGAACGAACGAATGAATGAAACGGAGATCTCCAGTCTTCTTGTTAATACGCGTTACGATTATTTCTTGAGACAGTAAATATGAATAATAATATGAGAATTCATTTAATATTATATTAGGTCTACCGGAAAGTTCTTTCTCTCTCTCTCTCTCTCTATCTCTCTCTGTCATATATATCAATTATCATTATTTATAATTTCTTATCATAGTGTGATGACAATTTGTATATTGTATTTTTTTTTTTTAAATGTCCCTTTCCTAAAGACAAAAAATTGAACTGGTGTTTGTCAGAATGGACAGAACTTGATTTTACATTTTCTAATTTAATTTAATAGAAACACCGAGTTTATTATAAAATATAAAAATAAAATTGTTATATAAATTAGTATAAACTATTATATATTTATAAACGTGTGTCAAATTAATTAAAAAATAGGAAAGAATATTCTGAAACTTTACTTTGATAGAAGATTGTCCAAATTTTTGGGCCTTTATCATCGAGACATTAAATCGTATACCGTTTTGTCGGTGATACTTTCTCTCTTTCTCTCTTTCTCTCTTTCTCTCTTTCTCTGTCTAGTGTGCCTCGAGTATAATATAATACCCACAACGCGGAGGCGAAGCGAACCCTTTATTGCCGTGCGCTGCTCGGATGCTGCTTCCTTTCTCAGGCTCACACCCCTTCTCACCCTCTGTCTACTCTTCTCTTTTCTCCTCCCACTTTTCTCTCTCTCTCTCTCTCTCTTTCTTTCACATACTTAAACACACACACACACAGACAGACAGACAAATATACACGTGTACGTACATATACAAACATTATATACTCGCTTTTCGAAATAGACTAAGAAATCTCACACAAATAATCACATCCTTATTTAATGTAGCAATAAAAAAAAAGTTTTCGAGAGTTTAGAAATATAAAGTAGCAATTAAGGAGAGTTTCAAATTATCCCATTTTCCTTTCTACGATCGAGTACTATAATAATGATATCCTTATAACACGTAAACACACAAGCTGAGAGTAACTTTGTCGACATTCGCAAAGCTTACGTCATCGTCGATCATCGACCCTCTCTCTTTCTCTCTCGCTCTCTCTCTCTCTCTCTCTCTCTCTCTTTTTCCCGTTCGGTTTCGATGGGGAGACAGTAGCGGTGATATGCAAGTCGTTCCACTCACGATGCACTCGACTCTCGAGATGATCCAAAGCGAAAAGTTTAATCGATCGTTTCTTCTTTATCTAACGATAGCTCTTCTCTTGTTTTTTCATTTTAATGGCGCATCAAGATAACATAAACACCGATTGATCAACCTTCTTATTCACTTGAATGTATTTATATGCTTTGACAACCGGTTGCAGAATAAATTTGGGTCAGAAAGATGAAACTGTAACGGTTAAGTAATTTCTATTGCATCATTGTGTTTAGCCAAAGATAAAGCTCGTTAAAGAATATAGAAATAACACTACTGTGACTACCTGCCAGCTTCGGGCTATACTTCGGCAATCGGCCATTTCTGAATGAACAATAGAAAATTCCGGCTACTCACGGCACTCTGCCGTCGTTAATGAATACTTTGAATCGGACTGGCCTCGAGCTCACCGGGTGTTTACGAGCGGTGTACACCGTCTGTATACATCCTCACGGTCAATGGTCCAAATTGTAAAAGATATAAGAAAGAGAATCTACGACAATAGAAATTGTACTTTCTTCGTTGTAACAACGATCAATGATATTAATATACAACCGGTGTATTTACGTTTGCGCAGCGTATATCTAATCTTGTTTAGAATTATAATCATTATTCTCCATTGTCAATATCTTATACTAATGTAAATATACTTGATAATCGAAGAACGATAAACAAGCGTTTAAATATGCGTGTACTGTACATAATAATAATAGTAGCAGACGTCGAATCCCATCGATGGTTTCGGAACTCGTAAGAGCATCACCTGGGAAGAAGAGATGGGCCAATAAACTGCTTCTCTGACTCCCGTTTCGCCGGCAACGAAATACTACTTTCCTTCTGGGAAGGAAGGCCGGTTTCCTTCTTTAACTATCCCAGGACACGCCATCGGGCAAAGTGTTTGTTCTTTTGTTGAGTTTTAGCTACCTTCAGTGGCGTAGCCAAAAGATCGATCTGCCTCGGGTCTCTCGAGCGCTATTACATTTAGTGTTACGGAACGATCTGCCCTCTTTTTCACTCGATCATCGAAGATCGATGAGAAGAATCAACGAAGCCAGCTGGCTGTTTCTTGCTAGCCTCTCTTGTTCTCGTATTGTCGTTGGTAATAGTGGTAGTAATAGTTATAATGGTAATAGTAGTAGTATTAGAAAAAGCAGTTGACTTAGTATTAGTATTACTAGTACTAGTAGTAATCCCTGGCCCCCGCAAGATCTGTTGCCGTGAGACAAGACTTTTTTCGATGATGGTGCACCTGATCGAACCATCCTAATCTACGTGGCTATTATGATAATACGTTTAGACGGAAGGTTATGTGCGGGGCCTGCTTTTTCTCCTTCTTTCCTTTTGCACGCAGAAAACAGGTAAGAAAGTGGGAGGAAAAGGAAGAGAGAAGAGAGAAGGACGGAGAACGCCTCTTTCCCAGAGGCAGAGAGCCACAATGTCTTCTTTCTCTCTCTTACTCATTTGCTCACTCACTCTCACTCTTTCTCTCTCTCTCTCTCTCTCTATCTCACTGTGGTATACGCTTACTCTCTTTGTGCCGGATGCGCACCGCCAGCAGAGTAGCAATAGCGGACGAACGTCCGGCCTCTCCTCTCTTTCTCTTCATCACGCCCCTCACTCACGTTACTACTCGTCTTTTTCTCTCTCGAAGAGCCGGTACACTTGGAACGCATCATTGGTCGACTCTCTGCCCCTGCTTGGGCTCCGCACGGCTAATTACATCTTCTCTCTCTCTCTCTCTTTCTCTCTCACACTCTCTTTCATAAACTCTCTACCGTAGATCGCCAAAAGTCGTGATTAATTTGTACCTAATAATACCCAAACATAAACATAATAGGAGGAAGGAGAAGGTTCGTATTTGATCATTAATCGATATCTATGTATTTTGCAGAAAAGGTATTGATCACCAGGCTAACCACGCAAAAGTGGCTCGACGTGGGCTTGGAATGGATAGAGGAAGAACATAGGAGTGCCCATTCACGAATGGTCTACGAGTATAGAGTGACGTGTTCACCACATTATTATGGAAAGGGCTGCGAAAATCTTTGCAGACCTAGAGACGACAACTTTGGTCATTACAGTTGCAGCCCTACCGGTGAACGTGTCTGTCTTTCCGGATGGAAGGGCGACTACTGTGCTACTCGTAAGTTTTCTTATCACATTACTCGTCATCTGACTTTATTCGTATCTTTTCCATCACGACTGCACACGATTGACGCAACCTTCGTTTGCTTTTTTTTCTTTTTTCGTTTTTTCTATTTTTTTGTTGTTGTTTTTTTATCGTTCCTACCGCGATTAAATGCAAATCGTATGCGGCTTGTTTTGTTCGCAGCTTACGTAACGTCGTACCGAACTGCGTTCCGCGTTTGAAAGTAAAAGTAGTAGCCGATGATACTTGCAGTAGCAGTAACAGCAACAGGCCCACTAGTTGATCTTGGGGCTTGTCTAGACAGGGATTCACGAAATGAAATTCTTCTCCTGTTTCTCTATTTTCTCGGTCTTGTCACGTTTGAGCGAATCCGAAAGCGAAGCTTTGTGCGCTGCTGACGGCTTAGGCCGAGAGAGACCAAACTCGGCGATGTCGGCGAGACTCTACGGCTACGGCATCGGCATCGGCACGACTCGGTGTGTCGGCGCACCGGTGCAACGCCGGTGCAACGTCGGTGCAGCGAGCTGCTCGAGAACGTGCAGCAGCTTCCCACGCTTGGCTAGCGCGTGTACGCGAGACTCTCTCTCTGGTCTGGTCTCTCTCTTTCTCTTTCTTTCTCTCGTTCTCGCTCTCTCCCTCGTCTCGGCATCCTCTTTATTGCTCTCCCGCTCACTCGCGTACCTGAGCCTCCCGTCGAGAGCGTACGACGAAGGCGTGCAACCCCCGCCCCTCCGCCCCCGCCCCCGCTCTGATCCGATCCTTGCACATGCACGCGCTCCGACCTTTCTCTCCTCTTCTCCCTCTCTCTCTCTCTCTCTCTCTCTTTCTTTCTTTCTTTCTTTCGTTCTTTCTTTCTCTTTGATACACACACATACGTCAGAGTTCCTCAAGAATTGGCCGCACCAAAAGAGATGCGCTGAGGATTCAGCGTTGCCAATCGTTTTATTAGACATTCCTTTGAAGAAGTTGATTCCTTTTTCACGGAAAAATGTTTCGCACCTAGTATAGGCAGATGTTCTCATCTGGAATATATTTTTTCCTCGAATTCGATATATTTCAAACGGACAATCTCGATACTAACGATTCTTTCAATTCCATTACGACCTTGTGGTTTTCTCAAAGTCTCCACCTTGTTTCGTACGCAGCAACCTGTTCTTTTTTACTGTTTATTCAGCTTATACACGTACGTATGACCGTATTGGGCTCGTTCTAGTGTAACGGTTACGTAGAGAACATTGAGTTATAAGAACGAATAGGTATCTCGTATCACGAGGGATCATCGAGGCGGAACGCAATCTCGTTTTCGAGGCTGTTCCTCGAGGCTGGAGACTGACCAGCCCGTTGGTAGCCAAGTGCCAAGGCGGAATCCGAAAATGCGAGGCTACTTCGATCTCACCCTTGATAGCTCTAAGTCAAGCTGCTGAAGAAAGGTCTCCCGATCGTGAACGCTGGCTATCGGTCGTTGCACCCTTTTCTTCTCGAGGAGAGCACGAGTCGACCGGTCGGCAAAGTTTGCGCATTGATTACTAATAGACTACTTACTCTCTTCGTTTCGTTACATTCCCCGGCATTCGAGGAATCATGAGTTCGTGCTCGGTTTTGCGAATCGGAACTTTCAAGAATCGGAAGGCGCGTCTCGCTTTTGTCACGCACTTCTTACTGCGATCGGCCGATCTTTTCTCACGTCTCTATCTCTCTCTCTCTTAATCTCGGAAAAAAAGAATACATGGACGTATACACATATGTATATGTATGTGTGTACGCTTTTATACGAGATCTCAATAACACGATTGAACTCTTTGGTTCCAAGACTCTTTGAAAGTCTCTACGATTAACGTGAGAAATAAAATAATATTTCTATTCATTGAAGAAAAAAAGAATTTGTATAAAAAAAAAAATCTTGCATTAATTCTAGAGTCCACTTTCTTTCTCGAAAGCTCACTCGCTAAAAGGATTTCGAAGAACATCGAACGAAAAGTGGCAAGACGCGTTCTTTCGGAACGCATTATACCAGAACATCGAACTTTCACTCGCTAGCTAGAAGTGTTCCTCGATGTATAAAATCATGAAGTCCTCCTCATGTAGTTTCATGATCGAAGGAAAGCGTGCTTACGAGCCGAAGCAAAGAGCTTGTTCGCTGGCGCACGAGCCATCATAAACCCGTTCATCGTTCTAACTCAATACTAAAGTGGAGAGACACGAGAGAGCAGCTGAGGTGCACGTGAATTCTTTTCCCCTTTCGACTTATCGTCGTAACAGCTAGGTTTTTCGTTCGGGGAAGCGACTACGCGCAAGGGGTTAACGAGATATAGAAATAGGGGCTAAAAATGAGTAAGGGTGACTAGTAGTAGTTCGAGCTTGCACCACGAAGATAGCTTTCGGCACCGCAGACGGTCTCTTTCGGGGGTACTACGACGTTACATGGGGATTGCGGGGAATAAAGGCAGCTGCAACGCGAGGCCATGCGCGAGTGGGCTTGACAGCTGCTGCGAAGGTCGGTGCTTTAACTATAACAGCTGCACCAAACTCACGTTCACAGTCCATTTCCATTGGCAACCTTCTCCCTTTGCTCCTCTTCTTTCTTTCTCTCTATCTCTCTCTCTCTCTCTCTCTTTCTCTCTTTCTCTCGTTTGCTCCTCTTCTTCGATCCCCTTACTACGACCTCGTCCTGCGTCCTTCCTCTTTGGGCGACGATATTTTTCCAAAGTCTCTTTCTTCGTCTCTTTATTATCTATATCTACCTGTACTTTTGAAATCTTTCCGCATTCAGAAATTTCTGAGAGAGAAAGAGAGAGAGAGAGAGCAAGGTGTGTGAGATACAATGAGTACCCCAACCTGCAGGTAGTCTTAGAGGAGGGAAAAAAAGCTGTCTTTTTTTATTTTTTGCTGTCTGCTTTTTTTCTATTTTTCTTTCTCTTGAAAACATTGATTCTATGCTTCTCTGAGTTGGACTATAGTATCCCGTGAGATCTATAAATATAATAGCGTCTTCAATCACTGCGCTTTAACTCATTGTTTATTTTGATCGATCTTCCTTGAATAGTTCTATCTCTGCGTTGTACTTGGTGCCAAGGTTACGGTCCTCGGTGTCTGATCACCTACCTTCAACCCTTCCTTCCGAGTCGTTTTCTCGCGATGGCATGACCCCGATTGAGGAGGGAACGTGCACGCAACTACGGAACTCGCGTAATCGAAGTAGTCACTGCCAACCACGCACAAGTCCGCAAACATTTGCGGTCAACCCATTCAACGTATACATATCTCTTTAGGAATGTTCATTCCTGCTTTTGAAAAAAGATTATAATTGATTAGCATCATCTTTCCTTTCCTTTTATGACTGATGGAACATTTAATGAGTAATAATGTCGACTTTAAAGGATACGAGACTGAACAATCGAAAGAGGATTTCGATTCTCTTATTCAACATTCCGATCCATCGTAAATTATCCAACTCTCCGTTGACTACCATACGCGTGTGTAGTATATGCATCGTATATATCGTAGAAGTTGTACGTATCGCTCGTGCAGTCGTGAGGGACGCGATCGACCTCTCGCGGAGCGTTGCCTTAACCTTTTGGATTTTTTCTTACTTCTTTCAGCCCGCTGCCTGCCCGGATGCGACGAGCAGCACGGACACTGCAGTCAACCCAACGAATGCAAGTAAGTATCTTCGTATACATACGTATATATGTACACCTAGTTTGCGCGCATCTTCACATGCATGAACAAACCTGTACAAGATGCATATATATAGGGTGAGTCAGTAACTATTACTATTGAAAAACAATTTTTATATTTAGGTACTTATTTTAAAGAAAAAAAAATAGTTAATGCATTTCATATAATAGACAAGTGAATCATCAGAAAAGCTTGTTAACACTTTCGTCTTGTATATATAGATTTAGTTGAAATAAATTGATGTATACAATTTTTTAACCAATCAAAATAATTCAGTTATCTGGCAAGTAGTTATCGTATCACCCTGTATATACCGACTTTTCTATACCTGCACCACCACGTTCTCCAGGCTCGATGTTCCTTCCAACTTCTATACGCATTCTACACACACATACATACATCGACATATACGCGACGCTTTTTCTTCTTCTTCTTCGAGCATGAAGAAGAAGAAGAAGAAGAGAACGAAGAATTCGAAGCGTTCGGCTCCTTTCCGTCGAACGAGACTCGGCCCGTTCGAAGGTGCTGATCTTTCTTAGCCGAGACGATTCTTTTCCAGTCTCTCTCTCTCTCTTTCATTTTTCAATGTGTCGTTGAACCTTAGTACTATTACCCTTCACTTGCTATTTTCGAAATACCACGTATTTTGGTTAACGCACAAGCGATTGTATCGTAGCAAGGGAAATTAACGAAGGAAGAGACGAGACAGAGCGCGAATCTCTGCCCGACCGGCGCTAACCCGGGCTTTGGAGTTAACTCGATCATCTAATTACTCTACGACCGGGGTTAATTGTCCCGTTAGCCGCAGCCACAGTCTCTCTCTCTCTCTCTCTCTTTCTCTCTCTCTTTCTCTTTCTCTTTCTTTACGGTTGACTCAACGTGCCGCCGTCTCAGAACTTTCCCTCCTCCTCCCCCTCTCTCTTTCCCTTTCCTTCTCTCATTTTACTATCTTGATCAATTTTTGTTCTATCTAACAAAATAGATAAGAAGAAGCATAGCTTGAAATGCGCGTGACGTCTTAAAAAAGAAGTAGAGCTCACGATTCGATCTGACAGAGAGTAAAAGAAATAACGATGTAAAAAGAAAAAGAGGTAAAGAGAGAGAGATTCTCGTGGCCCTATTAAATTGAGAGTATTCACAAGAGTGCACTATGTTGATGATGAGCGCGCATCATCCATGGCGCCAAGCAGGTATAATATGCCAGCTCGATGTTTCCCAACTGTAATTGGGTTAATACATTTTACATAAACTATGTACACGTATTCGTCATTGTCCTCATCCTCTTTTTACCATCATCTATCTATACTTCATGATTGAATGCCAATGCAATTTTGTAATTAACAGTGAAAAGAAAAAAAATAATGATATGTTTTCTTCATTTATTTATTTTTTTTTTTGTTCTTTCGTATCTCGCTAGACAATGAATTTGTTTTCTATAGAAAATCTCGATATGATCGATTGTCGTGAGAGAATATGAAAAAGAAATAAAGAGATAGAGAGAGAGAGAGAGAAAGAGAGAGATTCGTGGGATATCGGCCCCGCTCGTGATACGTGAAAGAATCACGGCTATGGTGTTCCATTGAAATTTCGGAGTCCACGTTCGGCCGTGCGTTCGTCAGTTGAATACAGATGACGATGCACAGACTATGCATCCTTGTACGTCCTCTCTTTCTCTCTCTCTTCCTCCACGATTCGAGTGAATGTACTGTATTACTGTGAAACAGACTGTTCTATTCGCCTCGATCCAAGCTAAGTGAACGGACTCGAACGTTTAGCATCTGAGCATCGTCTTTTAATCCGATCGTAGAACATTCCAATGTTTCTACGATCGAGAGGCATAAGAAAACAGGGATTTCTTTAGAAATGACAATTTTTTCTACGCTTTCCTTTTAAAATTCTTATTTTTCAACTTCAATCGAAGACCATCAGAGATTGGAACGTCTTGTACGCGACGCGACGATACTCTCGAATCTCGTCGTTACACGGAATTTGTTTAATAGTATAGTAGTAGAGTCATGCGATGTCCGAAGTGCGCTCGTGCGGCCGCGGCTCGACAACCGTGCGCGGCATGGCGCAGATCGCCAATATATATAGGCGGATGGGTATTAGTGGGCAGAGCGAGGCGCGCGCACACGCACACACAGGAGCGTAACCTTTCCTTGACCCGCATACTGAACGGCTGTGCCGAGGCTCGAACCGTGGGAACACTACTCGACGACTCATCCCCACTCTCTTACGAATTCTACCTTCTCTTCTGTCTCTCTTCCTCTTTCTCTCGCTTCACAGATCCTCTCTCCACTACCACGTCAACCATCTCCACCGTCATCGTCATCGTTGTCGTTGTCGTCGTTGTTACTGTCTTCGTCGTCGTCGTCATCGTCATCGTCGTCGTCGTCGTCGTCGTTGCCATCGTCGTCATCGTCGTCGTCGTCGTCGTCGTCGTCGGGACTCTTCTCTCTTCACCATCCCACCTTTCATCTCGTTCTCCCACTCTTTTCCTTCCCCCTTCCTCTCTACTACTCGTTACCTGACCGGCTGGCTGTCCTCCTCTTTTCATCTTTCTTTCTCGCTCTTTCTCCATATAACCCCTTGGACAACGTAATGGCCGACCACCATATACCTCTTCTCTACCCCTTCCTCTTCCTGTACCTTCGTCGTCTCTCTTCACACAGCCTTTATCCACCTTTGTATGTTCTTCGATATATGTAGGTACCTATATTTTCACCCTTTACCTCCTCCCGCGCGCGTGTTCACGTCTACACACAGACAAACACATAGAGTCAAACACACAAAGATACTTAGGCTCACACACAACGTGCACTTTTCCACAGCAGTAGCTATCTCGAACACTCGCTTCGTCTCTCTTTTCTGTCTACCTCCGTAGCGTATTTAGATACGATTCCTTCTCATACGTGAGAGCACGAATTCTCTCCCTTTAAACAGGCAAACGAGTTTCGAACGGATACCAAGCAAGACTTTTGATAATAACCGTGAAGGAGATACATATTTATGAAAATCATATAATACGAATCTTATATCTAATGAGATGAATTAACAAGCATATATTTGATTCTTTTTTTCATTTTTAATTGCAGCTGTCATAGCGGTTGGGAAGGAGCCTTTTGTGATCAGTGCGTGAGATATCCCGAGTGTCTTCATGGCAGTTGCCAAAAGCCTTGGGAATGTCTATGCGACGAAGGCTGGGGCGGACTGTTCTGTAACCAGGATCTAAACTACTGCACGAATCACAAGCCCTGCATGAACGGCGGCACCTGCTTTAACACCGGCCAAGGATCGTACACCTGCTCTTGCGCGCCGGGCTTCACCGGCACGGACTGCCAAACACCGCTTTTGGACTGTCACTCGAAGCCATGCTTGAATGGAGGCTCCTGTTCGATGGAAGCAACGTATACAAACTCGAGCGTATCCTCCAGTGTCGGCAACAACGCAAACGGGAATCATCATCATCATTCTTCCTCCTCGCTTGATAGTTCATCGTCATCGAACAAGTTACAACGAGCAGCTTATCGATGTACTTGCCCACCAGGTTGGAGAGGTCGTCACTGCGAGATGACATCAAGATCATGCCGAGACTCGCCTTGTTTGCATGGTGGTATCTGCGAGGATGACTCATTGAACGGCTATATTTGTCGTTGTCCAGCGGGATACGTGGGTACCGATTGCGAATCCCAACTCGACGAGTGCTCACCGAATCCTTGCACGAACGGTGGCACTTGCACTGACATGGTGAACAATTATCGTTGTACCTGTCCTCCTGGTTTCACTGGAGATCGCTGCGAAATCAACATCGACGATTGCCAAGGCGACCCCTGTCTTAACGGTGCCACGTGTGTCGACTTGGTGAATCGCTTTAGATGTCAGTGCGTACCTGGATTCGTTGGTAGGCTCTGTCAAGACAAGGTCGATTATTGTCTGGCGAAGCCATGCGCGAACGGTGGTAGATGCATTTCCAGAACAAACGACTATCGTTGTGAATGCAAGCCTGGATTCACCGGGAAGGATTGCAGCGTTGACGTGGACGAATGTCTTAGCGCACCCTGTAAAAACGGTGGCACCTGTAGGAATCGAGTGAACGGTTTTCTCTGTGAGTGTTCGAAAGGTTGGCACGGAGAAAGTTGTACGGAGGAGGTCGGTTTCGGTGGTACGGCAATTTTACCAGTGGCATCAGCCGCAAGTTCGTCCGGCGAAAGTGGTACTGCCATTTTACCAGCAGCAGCGGCAGCAGCCGCTGCGGTACCACCCTCGGGTGCCAGTTATTGGTCAGGAAATTTATCGAAACACGTAACCTCTGCAGCCGAAGCTAGAGACGCCGGTCTGACGACCGAACACGTAGTGGTGATAGCAACAATCTCAACGGCCGTACCAGCTTTTGTCTTGGTCGCAGCGCTCGCAGTAATGTGCATGAAGAGGCGGCAAAAGCGGGAACAGGCGAAGGCGGACGAGGAGGCGAGATTACAGAATGAAAGGAATGCAGTACACAGCAGCATGAGCAAGCGCAGCGGAGGTGTTCTCGGAGGCGGTAGCAACAGCGTCCTAGGTTCAACCGGTGGTGGATCGGCCATTGGGATTGGTAACGTTGGACTTCTGAATGGTATTACCGGTGGTTGCGTTGGTAGCGGAGTTACCGGTGGTGGAATCGTTTCGGGCGGAGGTGCGCTCTCCGGATCTGGATTAATCAGTTCGGCTGGTGGAAGTGTCTGCACTCTTGGCACTGGAGATGCTCACATGATCAAGAACACATGGACGGCAAACAAAAGTGTAAACAACGCGAGTAGCGTCCGACAGGATGACTTGGACTCCTCGTTCCAGACCGATGTTACCTTGGACAGTTCCTGTTCGGGTTATAAAGCAGAACCGGTGCTTCAAGATGGTAGAACAAGAACGACGAAACAGTTGAACACTGAAGCTGCAGCCCACCGAGCGTCTCATCTCTTCCAAAAAGAGAAGGACTGCTTAAGTCTGGGTCTGGGTATTGGTGTCACTGTACTAGAAAATACGAAGAAGTCGTCGGTCTTCGCAAACACTCCGAGCGATGCTTGTTGTGCAGCAGAAGCGACCCTATTGAAAAGGCCGACAACGGTGACGGAAAGTTCTGGCCCACCCGGAAGTGGAGGTGGCGGCGGCGGAGGTGGTGTTGTCGACAGTGCCTGCGGTGTTTATGTTATAGACGATCATTACAGGCACGACGCGAGCACGCTAGCGACAACCCTCGCGACGGAAGTGTAGCCTCGAGTAATACTGTGACATACAAAAGAACGCGTGCTTGGGACACGAATCAATTAGACAGCGCGCGAATCACGAACTTGTATTTTCTCTTATTCTTCCCCCCATTTTTTTCTCGTTTCACCCGACGCATCAGAGACCGTGTCGATCCTCATTCTTCTTCAATTTGAATCAATGCATGCATTGAAACAATTCTTCGAAAGATTCACAGAATCTTCGTTCGTGTTTCCTCAAAGACGTCTTATTGATGAAAACGAGGGGAATAACGATGACGATGACACTGACGAAGATGACGACCACGACAACGATGGTGAGATAATCATTAAGATCTCTCGTCGAGTCGAGCGACGGACTAACTAATATAAATAGAAGCTCGTGAATCGAGTTAATAAAGTAACGATATGCTGTGGGGGCGGTTGGCATATTAGCCACTTACCCGTCTTTAGATGTTAATAATATTGTCATGCCTCAAACAAAACTTTGTACAGAACTAATTTATTATTATTGTTATTTACTATTATTACGATTACTATTATTATTATTATTATTAATAATAGTTATTATTAATATTATTATTATTATATTATTATTATTATTGTATTATTATTAATATTATTATCATCAACAATTATTATTATTATTAATATTATTATTTTTATTTTTATTATTATTATATTATCGACATTATTATATTGTATCGCATTATCATTGTTCCACTAGTTCTTTTTTCAATTGCGTGACCGTGCTTTGTCCTATCTTCGACGCGATATGGTAACGGAGAAAAAGCTTGTATTAATGCGTACATGTATGATCGCGAATGTGTGTTTGCGTGCGTGTGTGTGTGTGTATTCTCGCGAATGTATGTATGTTGCGTATGAAGGAAACAGGAAGAAGAAGAGGTTTGCTAAAAATTCGAATCAAAATTGTCAACCTCTGATTTGTTCGCGCGAATATTGGGAAAAATCTTAAACATTTTTTGGATCTTCTGTCGTTTAAAAAAAAAAAAAAAACTATACCAGGATTATATACTTTATCATCACAAATGAACATCTTCCATTAATGAAAAATAAATAAAAGGGATAAAGAACGAAAATACTAATTCGAATTTTAGCCCTTTTAAAAAAAGATCAACAAGAAACAAAACAAAACAAAACAAAATATATATATATATATATAAAACAGGTGATCCAAAAAACGACATAGAAAAGATTTCATTTCTCATGTGTCGCGCGATAAAGAAGAGGAAATATATATATATATATAAAAAAAAAAAAAACATGTAGAATAGAAAACCCATTTCCGTTAAGGGATGATGATCGGTGATTCGTACCCAAAGGTATATAATACAGCGACCTCGTTTATTTTTTCTCTACGCGCAGGTAGATTGGAAATTCGTTCGATGAAAACTGGGTCCCTCCTTCCTAATCGATCGATCGGCTTTCCTCTTCGTTATTTAATAATAATAATAATAATTATTATTAAAAAAAAAAAGAAAAAGCAAACAAAAATTTAAAATAAGTAAAACAAAACATTTTGTTAATCGCTTCATTTAAATATTATTGCACACAGGTGTTTTCGGCGAAACAAGAAAATGAAACCATCGTTTCTCGATCATTGAAAGAAAAAAAAGAAAAAAAAAGAAAAAAAACTCTAATCGCGACTTATGTGTATATATAAAAATTATCTAATGTGTATATATATATATATATATATGTGTATAATACACATATACACACACATATGTATATATACATATAAATGTGTATGTATAAAAAAATAATACCGGCGTCGTCGTCATCATCGATAATTTCAAATGTATCAACAACGGAATGGATTATTTCGAGTGTTTTTCACCTTTTTTTCTTTTTTTGTTGTTGTTGTTGTTGTCGCGTGTGATTCTTTATTTTTCTTGTTTTTTTTTTAATTTTTTTTTAAATACAATATAACAAAATTCCAATGAATCCTATCGAATTGATCCACGAGTGTGCATAGCAATGTGTGTGTTAGTGAACCAAAAAAAATGATAGTTACGGCTAAATATTTGATTTTGGTTTAACAAACGCAAACAAATGCGTGCTCGTAATTCGTTCGATCTGATCACATCAATCGTAATTCGGTATACTGTCTGTCATATATATATATATATATATATATATATATATATATATATATATATATATATATATATGTATATATAAAATTCTTTTTTCATCGACGATTAAAGAAAACATATTAATAAATAAATAAATAAATAAATAAATAAAAAAAAAAAAAGGAAGAACGCTCGTTGTTATCTTCGGCCGTCGATGGTACGAGAAATGCGAATGAATAATATGTGTTGTTTTCGCACGGTTAAAATAATAATAATAATAATAATTAATTAATTAATTTATTTATGAATGGTGATTATCGCGTATTATGAATCAGTATGCCGATAGTGATAATGATGATGTGAAAGTGATGAGAGATGACGATATATATATATATATAGATATATATATATATATGTATACATATATGTTTTGTCTACATATATATATATATATATTTATATATATATACATATATAGAAACGTACGATGACGATATAACGAACAAAGATTCGATGATGTTCCTGTTATAAATAATAATAATAATAATAATTAAAATAAACGAAAACAATTTTACCAACTAAGTCATAAAACACACACACAGGCTTTTTGGGTCTTGTTTAGCGCGATTTAACGAAGGACCTTTTTACGCGCTTAAATAATTATTAATAATTTATCGTACGGGATTTACGACAAAGTGATGGAAAAAAAAACAGAAAAAAAGTATGAGCAACGTTTGGAGGATCAGCGAAATCAATTTTGTATTATCGTTCCTTTCATTGATAAGGAAAATCAAACGAAACAAACAAACAAACAAACAAGAAAAAAAACATAAAAGAAATAAAAGAAGAAAATGAAAATGAAAAGTTAAATATTATTAAAAAGAAAAGAAAAAGAAAATTAAGGATAGAAAAGAAATGAAATAAAATAAATAAATAAATAAATAAATAAATGAATGAATGAATAAAAATCAAATCAAAGTAAACCCCGACGATCCTAAATATGCGAGACGAATCACGTACATAAGACCGATTATATTATTATAAATATAATGTGTAATAAAGCTGTTGTCATTTTTTGTACTTACACTTTTTTGAACAATTTGATATCGTCGCCTTCCACTTATATATATATATGAGCGATCATCAACCATTCCTATAATTCCTGCCTCTCATTATTATTACTTCTTCTACCTTTTTTTTACTTTCAAATTTCTCAAACTTTTTCAAATTTCAAAAAAAAAAAAACATTCAACTTTAAGCAGTTTGTTTTGTTGTTCAAGTCAAACTTCATGGGGGATAGTTCATTTATATGATCCTCATGTTGTGAAGTATTCAATAACTTAACATATAATAATAATCATCTCTCTTTCGTATTATTACAAAAAAAAAAAATATAAACAAATAAGAAGATAAACGTGCAGAAGAAAATAAATAGATAAAAAGAAAAGGAAAAATTAGAAATATTTATGCGTTAATATGTATCATA